TGTGCGGACATGCACAGGTGCGTACAGACACGTACATACAGGTGGACACACAGATATTTTCATAAACCAAGGCAGGTGTGTCCTTAGGTGAAATTCGGAGGCTTGCAATTCCTCTACCGTCTTACTCTCACTGTCCTTTTGCAACACCCTCTCTAGGAGATGTCAGCAAGGACAAGTACCCAGGCCAGGAGCGGGCTGCTTGCATGGAGTGGGCTGGCTTGCATGGGTGGAAGTAATGAGTTAATGACACAGGGTGTGGGTGATGCATCGAGCGGATCATCAGGGAGGTGCCAGGGACACCAAGCTGTCAACAGCTCTGTGGAAGGGAGCAGAGCATGCAGAGGCTCCGAGGGCTCCTGCAGGGCTTCTCCCACCCTCTCCTGGCAGCTGGGGACTTATCCCTGGGCATCTACAGTATCATTAGTGCAGACCAATGCTTCCCACCACCCCGGGGATGTGACAGGCCCATGGTGCTGGTGGGTTCTTTCTATTGTAAAGCAAACAGCAGTGACTCCAGTGGGCGGAGGGCAGAGTGTAGGTGCCTGCCTAGTGGTTGCTGGGTATCGTGATGGGACAGGTATTAATTAAATGGTCCCTGGGCTGTGGGAGGTGGGCTTTTCCAAACTTAGGAGCAAGTGGAAAACCTAGTGCTCCTTTCCCTGCCAGCTCAGAAAAAAAAAAAAAAGGCCAAGAGTTTATGGAAGAAAAAGAGGCTCACCCATTATTTATAACTCTTAAAAATCATTTCTTGCTTTGTCTTTCAATCAAAGCTCAAAAAGATGTTTTAAATGTGTACCTACAGACTGCTTAGGGCTCCCCTGAATGGCTGTGATATAGTCACTTGACTGGCAGTTTATTGAAAAGTTAGATACTATTGTGTATGAGTGTGTGTGTGAGAGTTTGCGTGCATGTGCCGCAGGCATGTGTGACTCTCAGAGGACAACTTGCGTCATGTAGGTCCTGGGAATAGAATGAGGGCCGGCGGGCTCCATTTCAAGTACTTTTACCCACTGAAGCATTTTGCTGGCCTCCAGCAATTTACTTTAGATCACTGGTTCTCGTCTTTTTTTATGCGCTCTCTTGTTCTGACGCCGTAGATGATGGAGGAGGCCATTTTGACATGGTTTTATCCCTTTAAGGGTCCACGTGCTCAAAGTTTGTTCTCCAATGTGAGAATATTTGGGAGGTGTGGTCAGGTCCGGTCACTGAGGGTGTGGAATTGGAAGAAATTCATGTGTATTTTGGCTGACATTCCAGAGGGGGGTCCAAAATGACAGGGAAACATGGCAGCAGGTGCCTGAAGCAAGAGGCTGAGAGACCAGATCTTAACCACAAATGGGAAGCAGGGTGAACTGGACGTGGGACAAGGCTACTGTCTTAGTTAGCCTTCTGTTGCTATGAAGAGACGCTATGACCACAGAAACTCATATAAAGGAAAATGTTTAATTGGGGCCTGCTTACAGTTTCAGGGGTAGAGTCCATCGCCATGAGGAGCATCGCAGCACGCAGACGGACGTAGTTCTGGAGAAGCAGATGAGAGTTCTACATCCTAGTTTATATGCACCAAGAAGAAAGAGACACCAGGACCGGCTTGGGCTTTTGAAACCCCAAAGCCCCACCCCTAGTGACACACTTCCTCCAACAAGGCTCTACCTCCCAGAGGTTCCATGACTTCCCCAAACCATGTCACCAGCGGGTTCAAAGTGTTCAAATATGCATGAGCCTCTGTGTGGCATTTCTATTTCAAACCACAACACGTGCCCGTGTTTTCGTGGGTTCACCCTTACAGCATCACCACGATCAAGGAGATGAACGTACCCCACCGGTTGAGTCCACACACATCATTTCTGCAAAGGAAATGCAACTCTAATTCTAAACATTCATTCCCTTTGAACCAGGAATTCCGGTTCTAGGACCGGCTGCCTAAGGGAGTAGCTAAGAAGACGTGAAGATGCTTGGCGCTGTGCTGTCAGCAACAGTGAACAATCCGGTGCAACCAAGTGAGCAGCCACACAGGAGCGGCTAAGTGCTGTGAGGCAGTCACACCGTGGGGTGGCCTGGGGGGGGGGGGTGCTGTTGTTAGAAGAGTCCATGAACAAGGGCTGAAGAGCTTTCCAAGTCTTGTGGGGGCTTGCAATAGAATGCTGTAAAAATCTGATAGTAAGGGGGCTGGAGAATGGCTCAGTCAGTAAAGTACCGGTCACACGTGCACGAGGAACTGCGTACAGAGTCCCAGAACCCGTGTAAAAATCCAGGTGTGGCGGGGGGCCTGTACCTGGTGCTGGAGGTTGAGGGACTAGAGGGTAGGTTGGAGGCAAGCATATCTCTGAAGCTCACTGGCCAGCCAACTGAACTGAGTTGATGGGCTTCAGGCTCTGCTAGAGACCCTGTTTCAAAAAGTAAATGTGGAAATTTATCAAAGAGAGCCCCCTGACATTGACCTCTCTCCTCACCCCCATGCACGTGCCCTCATCAACAAGTGTACACACACACACACACACACACACACACACACACACACCCCAATAAATAATTGAGTGGACTGCATGGTGCTCTTCCTCTTGTCTTCCGTTACAGAGGGAGGCACAGGTGAGAGTCCCTGAGGTTCCCAAATTTCTCGCCTGAGAATGAGCATCCTAGTAAAACGGGCTCAGTGATACTTTTTGCTGTCAAGTCCTAAGCACCCTGTTGGCCCCTTGGGAGTTCTTGACCCATGTGGACAACGGGTGCCTTTTGGTTGTGTCAACCTCGTACAGTGTGCCACCTATCGCATCTTATTCCTGCAACACTCCCGAGACAGGATAGCACGTGCTACTAGACGGTGAATGAACAGATACACAAGGGTCCAGGGGTACTTTTGGTCCTGCTCTGTGATGGTTAATATTTACTGTCAACTTGGCGTGATCCAGAATCACCTAGCAGCAAGCCTCCAGGCACACCTGTGAGGGGTTAGCTAGTCTAGGTTAGCCTCCAGGCACACCTGTGAGGGGTTAGCTAGTCTAGGTTAGCCTCCAGGCACACCTGTGAGTTAGGTTAGGTGAGTACATGCTCAAAGACTCAACACATGGCGGGGGGGGGGGGGGGGAGGATGCACCGTTGCCTGGGTTTGGGGCCCCAGCTGTGTAAAGAGGAGGCTAAACACTGAGTTCTATTTCCTGACTGCGGATGTGATGTAAACTGCTGCAAGCTCCTAAGGCCTTGATTTGGCTGCCGTGAAGGACTGGACCCTTGGACTGGGAGGCAGAATACCCCTTTCCTTCCTTCGGTTGTGTTTGCCAGGGAATATTATCACAGCAGCAGAAAAAGGAACTGAGATACATCCTGAGTGAGGAGCAAAGCTCTGCTTGGAACCCTGGAACCCTGGAACCCTGAGCCTTATTCCTTGCTTGTGTCATCCCTCCCACCAACCCAGTGAAACCATGCAGGCAGCGGTCAGCACACTGAGGTCCACCCAGTGAAAACACATGGACAGGGGTCAGCACGCTGTGGCCCAAATTTGGCTCAGCACTTGTTTTTATGCAATATGAGAGTTAAAAAATAAAATTTATGTAGTTAAAAAAAAGCGGTCCAAAGAATAATATTTTGTGATGAGTTGTCATGGTTAGCACCAGCTGTTAATTTGATACAACCCTGGGGACACTTAGGAAGAGGAACCTCAAGTGAAGAATTACCTTCTTCGTCGCCTTCTTCTTTTTCCTTCTCTTCCTCCTCTCCCCTCTCCTCCTCCTCCTTCTCTTCCTTCTTCTCTCTCTCCCCTCTCTTTTTTTTTTTTGAGACAGGGTTTCTTTGTGTAGCCCTGGCTGTCCTAGAACTCTCTCTTTGTAAATGAGGCTGGCTTTGAACTCACAGATATCCACCTGCCTTTGCATCTCAAGTGCTGTGATTAAAGGTTTGCACCACCCCCACCTGGCACTAGCAATTTCTTTATTAACAGTGAGTGTAGAGGGGTCCAGCCCACTGTGGTAGGTGCCATCTTTAATCTTGTGGGCCTGGGCTGCATAAGAAAGCTAGCTGAGCAAGCCATTAAGCAGCATTCCTCCACGGTTTCTGCTTCAAGCTCTTGCCTTCGAGCCCCTTAATGACGGACTGTGAAGCATAAGATGAAATAACCACACCCCAGGTTGCTTTTGGTGCCGGCGTTTATGACAGCAACAGATCACAGTGACAGAAGAGTAGCTAGCATGGACATGAGCATTCCACGAAGCTTAGGCTTTTAGATACAGTCCCAGTAGCATCTTCTACCAAACCACGGCAGAGTTTCACAGCTGCGGAAGGTACACGGATCTTAAAATCTGCTGTGTATTCCTTTATGGGAAAATGTTTGCTGGTCTCTGAAACAAGACATTGCTCCTCCAAACCCTCTCATGTGTGTTGGATGCAACCTGCTCTTCTGGCAAGGAGACGTGGTGGTGGTGGAGGGGACCCATCGCTGACTGGCATTAAGATCAGTACCAGCTCCCACACACCCGACTCAAAGCCAACATTCCTTAGATGTTTAGAACATAGTTCCTTCCCACTCATGTACGGACCAATATTCTCACAGGGGAAGTAATTTACCTGAAGTCACATATTGGTTGGTGGGGGGAAGTTTAGAACTGGATCCAATTTTTCTACCTCCATGGACACTGTCCAACTAAACCTCACTCTTCTGAATAGGAAAAAACCCCCAAAACCAAAACTCATCCCCTCTCACCAACAGCTTAGTTTCATTACCCGGAGCCCCACAGAGGGTCTCAACTCCCACTCCACTCTGCCTCATCGACGTGAACCTCACCAGGGCTAGCCAGTCCGTCTGTGTCAGAGTGACCACTTCGAGCATGAACTGGAGACCAGACTGAGATGGCTACATTCAGTTGAATTCAGGAAGCTGGGACCTGTGTGAGTTGGCCTGCTGTCTCTTGGCCACATGGCCACTGGATAATTAAGGAGACCCTGTTGGGAGTTCCTGCTCGGAGGACCTCCTTCTGTGTGTGCTACATTTACTCGGTGTGAGTTCTGCTCTAGTCACCGCTTGAGTTCATGACAGGAGGGTGGGACAGGAGTGCGTCAGTGAGCGCTCGGTGATGGGATCTTGCAGACAAAGGGGAACTTCCTGTGACAGCTGCTGTCGTTCCAGGACCTCAGAGCTGTGAACGGAAGAAGCGGAGAGTCTGGGTAGACATCCATTCACTGCAGTAAAAGCCCCTGCGTCACCGATCTGGAGTAAAAGTCCTCTCCCGCAGGCTGACGGCTGCTGAGACAGCGCTCCTATCCTATTCTCTCACGAAGCCTGGTTTGGTCTTCCACTAGTCGGGGAAGGATAAACTTTTTTCCGGGCTGCAGGATGGCCCCTGGGATAAGTGACTTTTGTCCCCCACCATTCCTCAGGAGGAGGAAAGGAAGAGAGGAGCGCAGTGTGATGGTTGGACCTTGAATTCGGTGCATGTTGAAACGTAGCTCCATTCCCTGCCTGTTCTGTGACCTTGAAGGAATGGCTCAACTTCCTGAAGCCTGGATTCACCTTGGGCTTCATAGTTGATAGAGCACAGAAGGTGAGAGGCAACCCGTGCCTGTGCCCCTGTCACTGTGCTGGGCCAGTTGTGCCTTGATTATCTCAGCAAACTTTCACATAGGGGTAAATATTAAGCCCAGGAGAGAAAACGGACTCCCTGCAAGGACATAGCTACAAAGCAACAGGGCTAGAACTCACACTCAGGTGTATGCTCTTCAGTGCCCACACCTCTGCGCTCCTCCAGACGCAACTGTGTTCTGACATCCAGAAGGACCATCCTGGGCTGGAGGCTTCCACTTTTGTGCACAGGAAACTACCTCTCAGTGCAAAGTTTTTTTTTTTTTTAAGGGATATACGCTGTGCACATCAAAGACGTAATGAAGTCTCTGCCACCCACTCTAATTCTCTAATGCCCTTCCATCCATCTGGCACCTGATTGCCAGCAAACCATTAAAGACCTTTTAAAATACTACTACCCTGGACAGTATACCCTGCCCCAGGAAACTGGGGTGCTCTCCAAGGTGCTAAAAAAGGGCAGCCTCTTAACTCCCATTGCGGCCCATGTTTCCCCGTGGTGCCCCTCCATGCTCCTTGATGCCTCCCCATCCTTCATCCTGACCCTACATCTCATTGTGCCCCCACACTTCGGGGTGCTTCCCCATCCCTATGCTGCCTCTCTATGCAGCTCTGGGAGAGCCCAGGTCCTGGGGTACTCACCGCTACTGGGCCGGTACCACATCTGCACACAGTCTTCTTCTGGGTCTGTCTGGATGCCATCGCCAGGCTGGCTCCTGTCCCAGTAACTGTAGTCATAAGGGGAGCCGTCAGTCCACTCAAACTGCCCTTCCTGGGGTCCACTCAGAGGCAAGAAAGTAGAGAGAAAGACCAGGTATTGGATTAGTTCCGGGGTAGGGACGGCGTTATAAAAGCCCTTAGTGTGCAATGTAATGTGTGCTATGGCCTCAGCGCTGCTGGCCTCAGGCACCTTGTGTTGCCCTTGTCACATGAACCTTACCTACTTTATTCTCACTGCTCAGCAAAGAATGAGCTCAGCTCCAGCCCAGACAACCAAGAGAGACTTCGCCTCAAAAGAAACAAGTAAGTGGTCTTGGGGATGCAGCTCAGTGATAGGGCGCTCGCTCATGGGCTGTGTGCTGAGCCCTGGCTTTCGGTGATGCTGAAGGAGGGGGGAGTCCCTCACACATCTATCCATAGTTTCGGAGAATCCAAGTCAAAACAGAGGTGTTCTCTGATTGTCCCATAATGTTCCTGTCACACCCACTTCCATGGCTAACCGAGGTGGGTTGGTGTCTATGTGCTGGTGTGTAACTGTGAGCTGGCATTGTTAAATGAAAGTGGAGCTTTGGTTGGAGTTTCTTCCTGAGCTCTGGCAGCTGTGGCTTCCTCACCTCACCTGCCTATGGTCATGAAGGCCCGTCCAGATATCAGCCGGGATGTCAGGAGCGCAGCTGTTCACCAGGTCATACACAAAGACGTTCTCCTCCCAGCTGTGGATGCAGGAAGCACAGCAGCAGTTACCACCGCCCCTTTCCACGGGCTGGAGCCTGAAGCAAGCTCGTTCCCGCTTCTGGACTAAGTCAAGGAGGGCAGAACGTAACTGTTTTCCCTCTCCGTTCTCGTAAGGTTTCAGTTAATTAGTAACTCGTGTTTGTGTGTGTGTGTCTGCCTGAGTGTGTGCACGCTTTATGTGTATGGGTGTGCACACGTGTGTATTTGTGTGGCAGCCAGAGGACAGCGCCAGGTGCCCTCCTCTGTCACTCTCTGCCATATTCCTCTGAGACAATCTATCCACGAACCTGGGGCTTGTGCTCTCTTGGCTAGGATGGAACCCAGCAAGCCCCAGCGACCATTGTCTCTCTGCATCCTTGGGACTGGAGTTATTTATAGGCATTAGCTAGGGCAGCTGGGGTGTTACGTAGATGCTGAGATCAGAACTCCGGTCCTCCCAGTTCTATAGTGAGTGCTCTTAGCAACTGAGTCATCTCTTTAATCCCTCTGTCATTCTTAACTAGGTCAACCCTATTTGGCCATCTGGGCCAGCTCAGAGAAAGACTCAGCACAGCACTTACCACCACTTCAGAAACACTTCGAATGACACGGGTCACAGTGAAGATAAAAAGAACAGTGGAGGGCTACACACTGTGTTGTGTGTGCTGAATGACTTAAGATTTCCAATATGCTCACTTTGGTTCTCTCTCCAAGACCCACCTTGTGCTGCCAAATCTTTACATAGCTTCCTCTTTCCCAATATTTTTCCACATAGCATCATTAAATATTTTCTGTTTCTTTCTTTCTTTCTTTCTTTCTTTCTTTCTTTCTTTCTTTCTTTCTTTCTTTCTTTCTTGGGAATATAGCTCTAAGCTTGAACTTACTTAATCTACTCTGTCTTCTGGGAGGAGTCCCAACCTTGACATTAAAAGCTTATAAACAAAGAAACCAGAGACCCTGGTGTTGGGTCATTGTCCAAAACAATATATATATATATATATATATATATATATATATATATATATATATA